GAAGGAGTCCAATTAGAAATGCATGAGGGCTGATGGAGAGGTGATGTAGGCCCTGAGGGAAAGCATAAACCCACAGCTCTGCCTGCAGCTGAGGGTGAGAAGTTCAGCTTCAGACCTCACCGCAAACAGTTTACTTATACTATGATTATTCCCTGAACAGCATTATGCAAGTAAAATGGTCTTTATTCACATAGAAAAAATATTTTTACTTTTGGCCTTTAAGTACCAATGGTAACAGTATTGGTGGTGCTGAATTTACAGTAACTGCTGTTGTACATATGCCAAGATATCTGCCATGTTTTCTAACTTTTATGAAATTGTCTATTTGTATCCAAAAGCACTGCGTTGATGACTGGTCAGCTAAACCTAACATTTCTGCTCTTTGGGCACCAAGGAGGAAAATTACAGGAGGCCAGGAAGGATTAGTTTTATAACAAGTAAAGCAGGAATGCGGATGTTGTTGCATGTGGGTGTATTGCTGACACTAATGAAAAGAAAAAAAATTGTGGATGTAAAAACATGTTTTTGTCGGTAGATTTGGAAATCAGCTTAGTTCGCTGTCTGTCATAAACCTGGAAAACAAACCGAAGTCTGTTCACAATTGGGTTTGGTTGAACTGACTAAGCATGGAAAAAATCTTATGTAAAATGCAATTAATGCTGGTTATTTTTTTAAGTATTTCTAATAAAAATGCTATAAAATCAAACAATAATCAAATTTATTGATGCAAAGCTATGGATCAATAATCTACACAGAGCCACGAAACACTGATCGATGCAGAGAATATGTTTCCATTTCAGCCACTAAATATATATCATATATTGTGCACTGAGAAAATGCAGACCACTGTGTTTTATCATTAAAATAACATGACTTTTATAGCGGGGGAATCTCATACCGTGTTCATTACCATCAACAAGAAGAAATGAGTCACTCTCAGCTGCATTGATCGACACTGTATTACACTAGAATATAATGTGGAAGTCTTGGTTAACAGTTTTGACTTCAGTGCACTGATTCATGTTTGTACATTATAGGGGGAAGCAGTGAACCTTGTCTTATGAACTACTGTAGGCTTACTATGTCTGTTGAGACTAAGCACTTCGACTGTAATTAACCCCTTGATGATTTTCTCGCCGCAAATATATTCTAATGGACCCTTTCATCCGTCATTAGATAGAAACCATATCAGAAACATTCCAAAGTCGCTGCCAACACATGCAATAGACCCATTTTTCTTTCTTATTTCTTAAAGTCTAAAGACTTTGCTGTCATAGTCGTTTGTCTTTGAACGCTTGTGCCCACCGGTGAGAGAAAAATCACACTTCAAGCCAAGCGGGACATCTTGTTGCTCTGTATTGGTTTGTGAAAGAGGCACAATCCAACTGAGACTGTTATCAGAGGCTTACTGCAAGTAAGAGTCTGACCATCAATCCATCTCCCTGTGCACCGCTATGTGTTTGTATCGGAGTGTGTGTGAGAAGGATGAAAGCAGTACCAACATACTGTAACGCCAGGATCACTACACAGCAGAAGAAGAGCAGAGTGGAGTCAGGGGGGACCAGTGAGAGTGGAGTTTTAAAATGTAAGAAAGACTGGCATCAGCCAACCCTGTCTGCCATGAACTACGTTCTTTTACACCTAAACTGCATTCTCAATTATGTTTTACTAGAAGCAGATTTTTTTTTCCACTTCAGTGAGTCACAAAGTCTATGTAAGGAGGATGAAGTGTAGGTGGAGGCACTGGTCGACACCACACATTCACCCTGAGGGACCAGTCTAGACGGGCGTTTCATTTTCACTCGCTGCTTGGTTAGTTTTAAAGCTACTTGGTTTACTTTAGAAAAATATCATGGTTTGGGTTTTCACAACATGTCTCAAGCTTTTCCTGCATTTTCTCAATTACCAGGGTGTTGAGTGCAGCCAAATTAAAGTTCACAGGAGCATCTTCTTTGAAAGAGAATTTATGACAACAGCCGTGCATACAAAGACAGACCTGAGACTACTGGTGAGAATTAGTTTTTGTACCAGTCATGAATCAGATCAAAGCAGAACCGGAGGACTGAAAATTACAGTGATTCAGAGCTCGTATCAAAGGAGTGGTGCACACTGCTCACACCACCCACATTGTAAAAATCACAATTAAGATTAGTAAATACTGAACTTTGAATTTAGTAAGTGTTACTCAGAACTGAGAAGTTACAGCGGTGTCAGTCTCACTTTGCCAGCCCATTCTGCAGAAAAGAATGCTCTGACTGCGCATCATTATCACTCTGATATAGAGGGAAAAAACTCTCCAGCTTGTTTGTATTTCTCTAAACCAGTCACCATCATTATACCTGGAGCTAAGCTAAGGATGCGTCTGTTCAAAATAATGATGTGGGAATTGTTTTAATGGAACATTTGCATGCAGGGAGGCGAGAACTATGAGAAATGGTTCCTTCTCCTCCCCTTCTTATGGCATGATCTGAATTTTCTGCAAAATTTAAAATTTTGAGTTTAGCAGGTTGCTGCCCAGAGGTTGTTGTTGTAAGTGGATTTTGAAACCAGTAAAATGCAGATAGTGGAGCTAGAGGAGAAAAGCACAACCAATGACAAGCTTAGATCTGGTGAGTCATACTAAAGTGAGTACAGACATCAATGCAGCAGTCTAAACTGAGAAATGTGAACTGAAAAAAGACATTTTTCTTAACTGTCAAAAACATTTGTATATTTATTATTAATACAATTGGAAATAGTCACAATATACTTGCCTTTGCTTGCAACTTGAGGTATGTCATAGTATCGGGACAACAACTGATAGATATAGGGTTTAAGCTGCAGCTGCTGTGAAACTGTACAGGTAGTAGTTTATACATAAATGTTCAACTGAAGCCAACAACCAGCAGGACCAGAATGACAACAGTTTTGTTGTTCACTTATATCTTAACGCTCTAAAGATTTAGAGAAAACGTAAAATGTGTGTGAGCGTTTTTGCAGTCTGTATCGTTTTGTCATAAACAGCACCGTTAAGATGTTCACAGCAGCAGCATCCACACTGTGTACGTGTGTGAAGCAAGCCTTTGTATTTGTGTGACAGCTTAGCCTTTGATCTGAAAACTTATTTTTCCTGGATTGTCCTTCCTACTCTTGTCAAATTTTTTTGGGACAATTTATTATAGGCGTTTTGTAGCATTATGAACTCCGTTCAACCTGAAACAAATCTGTATCTATTCACTGTATGCAGTTGGAACACACTTTAAATTAAGGCGTGGCAACATGCTACGATGTTAATAAAAGATACCACCCTCACAAGAAACAAACTTATGTTTAATTTACCTTTCAAGGAACTTATGAAAGCTGATTTATGATTCCTGTCTCATTTGAGGCAAAAGGCAACAAGTCGTGTCTCATTGTTGTCACCCTGCGAAACCTCTTACAGAGGAGGTCCAAGTGGTTATCTGGGCTTAAAGCATCCAACACTGACACAGAAGACTGCGTCTCATAATGTACAAACAATCAATATTAGAGGCGGCACATCATACAACAATCTTATTAATTCTTGAATTATTATATGAGTGATGTATGTATGGTACGTTTTGTCCTGTGCAGAAATCGTCAATTTTATAAATAAGGAGGGTATTTGATGCAAACTGCAGCAGCTTTGCAGTGTTTGGAGTTTGTGCTCTGTGTCTTACAGTATAATTACTGCCAATGCAATACTTAACAATTAGTTGGGCGATGCATACAGCTGGCTGTGTTCATTGAAATTCAGACACTGAAAGATGTCAGTTCCTCTTGAAGGACACTGAGGAATTGGCAGCATCCTGGTTTCCATCTGAAGGCTGAGAATCATCAGCCAATCGTGGGCGAGAAGAGACAAGACAAATGTGTCAGTAAAAAATCTGTATTGAACATAAACATGAAATCCGCCCAAGTATTATTGTTGGTACAATGAAAGTAGAAAGTACAAGTGGATGTCTTGTTTCAGAACATAGACTTCATAAATGTCACACTATAAAGTTGCCACAGCAGTAGCCATCACTATAGCTTAATTTTCAATTCCTAACTTGAGCTTACACTATCACAAACTGAACATATCTCAGTATCACCTCAGCTTCACTCTTGAAGATCCAAAAATATCCTCCACAAAGCCCCCATCCTGTAGCCCCTGACTATGCGGTTTATGCGACTCTAAATACAGCTAAGAGGCCATAAGATTGGTGGATCAGTGACTGGCTGCACACACACATACTCACGAGAACACAGCACATCAGCAAAGCTGTGCCATGGAGGAGATTGAACCTGCCATTTGTACTCCAGAGCTTTAGATCATGACAGATCGTGAACTGTTTACAGTTGTATAAAAACCGCGGGGTGCAATATGCCGTGCTACAGCAGGGGCCAGACAGAAATCAAATATATTATGAACCAGGATTTCCTCATTCAAAGAGCATTCTTTCTATCTTTGCTCTTTCCTTAAGATTTCCCTGTGTCTCTCTTCTTCTCTTTACTTTCACTCTGGCCTGTTGGTTATTCCTGTCAGTGGCTGCCTGAGCCTCACTGGAGCTCGTATCAACTCCTTCCTCTCCCCGGTGTGACATTCATAGCATTACAATTGAGCCATCAATCTGTCAAGCTTTACCCCTGCTAAGCCGCGAGCAGTGGGAAGCACAGAAGAGGGACAAGTTTACCTCTGCTTCTGTTTTGCTTCTCTGTAGTTAGAGCCTAACAACCACAATGAGTCTCAGACATGATGTAAAATAGATAAGCTTTTAGTTGCCAGCTGAGGCAAACCATTCAGTCGTCATTTTTCACCCTCATTTCCATCTACCACCGGGTATTTTGTGCTGATGACTGACTAGCTGTTCGCTCCTCATTCTGTTGGATTCTCATTATTTTTTCCCCACCACCCCCACTGCTGCCTCTCATACATACATGCACTCCTCCTCTACTGTTTTTCAAATCCTCTCTCTTTGTATTTTTCCCCTGTCTCTGCCTCCCTCCCTGGGTATTTTCAGACTGAGCTCCTGTAAGGAGGAGATAAAGCCCCCCAGCAGGGCAGGACCACAGCTGTCACCTTCTGACTTCCTGGACAAGCTCATGGGGAAAACGTCAGGATATGATGCCCGCATCAGACCCAACTTCAAAGGTACAGAGTATGCCAAGGCAGACCCTCACAGTAGCCCTCAAGAAAATCCAGAAGAAAGCACAGGCTCTGGAGAGCAAAACAAACACCAGTGGATCTGTGCTGTGAAAGCAAAAAAGCTGAGCAATCGCATGTGCAAGCGTTGTATATTGTTCTGTCAAAACTGCAGTATGATCCTGAGATTTCCAGCTTTCTAGTACATACATTATACATTACCCTTCATGGTGATAGCCATAGATTTTTGATGTAGTCTTAATTTAAGTACAGGATATTTTGCCAAGCTGTGCAAACATGCTGCAATGCAAATTACATACTGAACTATTAAATTGCGTTAGTAACTGCTGCCTGAATTAGATTATGCTCACTGGCAACATTTTCTCCTTTACAGGGACAGTTTGTACCACATGCAAGTCACAGGGAGGGGGTTTGGGTAGATGGTGTGCATATAAAGCACAGGACTTCTAACACCGGAGACCGGGATTCTCATCCTGAGACTTTCAAACATCTTCCAGGCATGGTGCAGGAGAGTTGACAGGAGGCGTGGAAAGAGATCTAAGGCAAAGATACTGTTGATTTGGCCTGCTTACAGCAGCTGGAGCAGCTGTGACCCACAGCTGATGGAGGCAATTAAGGTATTTTAAAACATTTATGGCACAACTGCCACAATTTGCATCAAATTTCAAAGATGTATCATAGCCATGAAATTATAGGAAGAATAGTTCCAAAACACAGAATGTTATCATCCCCAAAATGATTGTGACTACTTTATAGCATTATATTAGTATTACATTTTGGTTACTTTCTATATGGAATGATGTTTCAAGACTGAGTGCAAGATCATCCCACAAATAAATACAAGAATAATAAGTGGTTTTCCACTTCAGTAACATGAGGTGGTGCGAATGTTTACAGGAAAGGTCCTTTAACTCTCCCTTTCAACCTTTGTTTTCACATTGCTGTGTAGGATCCCACAGCTTCCGCTATACAGTTAACTCCAAATGCCACAAAACAACAACAAATAGTAGTTACTGGACGTCAATCCAATTCTTTGAACAGGTAGGAAACAGAACAATGGAGAGTTTGTTTTCTTCATCAAAAATGTCGCTTTCAGTCCCGAGAGTTTAACGACTCTGTGCTGTCTGTTTAACCAATCAGTTGAGATATGCACAGCAGTATTTCAGGGTCACTCAGAAGCCCCTACCTTGGAAAAGGTAGTTTTTTCCTTCCCCAAAAATTGCCCTAGAAGATGTTCAACAGGGGCAGTTCCAGTGGTTGGAACATGCACATGCAAGGTTTGGTTTGACCTTAAACAGACCGCAAGTTCATGTGCACCACCTCACACCTGCCCTGAGTTCCTGTAGTTTAAAGCCAGCTAAGTTCCTGTTACCACTTTTAGTTGTTATTATCTTATTTAGGTTTAGGGGATGATCTTGCACTAAGTTGTGGAGCATCTAAAGTAGAAGGTCTTGGCACATAGACTATTCTAAATATAACATTTTCTAAGTTTTGAAACAATTGCTGCACAAATATCACGGCAGTTAGGAATCTTTTGTTGTGATACAACTTGTGACAGTTGTGGGGTAAAGGTTTTAATAACTTTATTGCTTCCATGAGCTGCCTGGCACAGCTCCTCCAGCTGCCAAACCAACATTATCTTTGCCTCAAGTCTCTTTACACACCTCTCATCAACTCTCCTGCACCACACTTGGAAAGAGTGTATCTGAGTTTGAAAATCTCAGGATTTAGGCAACAAAAGCACTTTGATGTTAAACCTTCAGGTCACCATTGATTCTTTCAGTTTCAAAACGAGACCGTCTAGCATTAACTGAATGCTTTGGTTGCCCTAAACAGAACATTATAAAATATTAGCCATGATTTTATTAGACAACATTGTAGAAAGGATTGAATACATTTTCTCAGACATTAAAATGTGGGCAAGTACATCTCTATGACCTTCCCTATTCATATTTTTAACAATCCCAGTGTTATCTTTTCCTCTAGAGTTTTTCTTTAAACTTTCCCACTGTAATTACAGTTGAAGTGAGAGGCCTGAAAAGAGCGTACACTTTGTGTGCCTTTAAATAGCAGCCTCTTTAACATCAGAACTGGAGCCGGCATGATTTGCACTGAAGCAACACTTTCAGTCATAATCACTGTACGAGGATGAAAAGGAATGAACTAAGTGCTGAAATCTTTCAGAAGCCGCAGGGGACATAAACTGAAATCGGTATTTTTAATGTGGACACTGGTGTAATCTTATAAATCCCATCTGAAAGAAAAATGTGTTCCTTCTGTCTGTTGTTTCTTCCTTCAGGCCCACCTGTGAATGTCACCTGTAATATTTTCATCAACAGCTTTGGGTCGATCACAGAAACTACCATGGTAAGAAGAGCTTGAGGATTTCCAGTGTTGCACATGTGTCAGAAATGCAAATGTTTATCCTTAAAAAAACACACACCCAAAAACGTCACTCGTCTGGCATCATGTTTTATACAAAAATCTTAAAATAACCCCCCCTCTTCTTCTTATAAAATCTTCTGTCCTCTTGGTGCTGAAGCCATTCCCTCATTTCTGTTTCCTGGAGCATAACAGTGCAACCTTCAGAGACCAATGGGTCACTGACATGCTGATAATGAACTGTCCACTCTGCAATTAAAATGAAAAATTGAGAAAATGAGTGAAAAGGGGGAAGGGAGAGAGGACGAGAAAGATGGCTGCCCTTAAGTCTGCATTTACAGTGTTATGGCTGCTGGGTCAGCGCAATACAGTAGTGAAGTGTTTAAGGGTAACTGAGGGAGTTCCAGAGGGCCGGTCCTCCGGTCAGGTTAACCCAGAGAATGACAACACTAATGATGTCATGGTATGTGCTTGTGAAGCATGTTTTTTTTTTATCCTGATAAACGAGGTGAACTAGTAAGGGAAGCAACAATCTACAGTGCCCAGAGATGAATTGTGAATTAATGGTACAGATTAGAATTCTAATTTAATTACTCATGTATGTTGGCTACAGGCAGGATTGTGTTCAGAGCGTGTCCTTGGCATTGTCAACCCTCAGCTCATGAGCAGCACATGGTTGAACCGACAGCATACCATCCTGTTCAACCTGTCACTTTTGGTAAAATCTGATGAATATAGTGAAGCAAGGACATTTCAACAGAAATGCTGCCTTTAGTATGTAGAACTGAAGTTACATTGCAAAAGATAGATTTTCTATAGTAACTCTAGTGCTTCAAAGAGTACAAGTGAGTTTAATCACACCATTGATGGGGGAAAAAATGGGTGAATGATCATCGTAGTCTGTTTTTTCATCACTGGGAAATATATCCTTGCATATAGTACTAGATGATATGGCTTTTTTTTTTTTAAAAGAAGAAAAAAAAATCACAATAACGTGTTGCATTGCAGTCAATATTAATAAAGGCCAAGAGAAACAAGGTTTAATTTGAATTTAGGCACTTTTGCCTTTTTATCAAGGTATACAAGTAAAAAAAATAAAATTTAACACAACAATGACAAACAAATACATAAATGAATGTACACATAAAAATAAAGAAAAAATAAACAACCATAAACTAATGCTAAAATCCAAATGTAAAATCTAGATGTTCACAAGGGGTGATCAGGGAGACGCTGCACACTGCAGTGAGGTTAAGCTCCTAAGAGGCTGGCCAGGATCAGGGATCTATGGATGGAGACCCCGCACCAGCCTCCACGCTCACCCTAATGTCTAGTCTGTGACCCCTCGAAGCAGGCCACCAGGAGCAGCTCTCTTAAGGCCAATTCATGGTTTTCACATGACTGGTGTGCACTTTGAAAGTGGACACATGCGGTTCTATTCATGCTACAGTAGCTATGCATGGCACACAGATGATCACATTGCCCCCATACTGAACACAGAAAAACACACAGGGCTCCTGTGGATGTTTGTAAAAGGCTGGCTGTGACTTCTGCACTGTCAATGTAATTTTTCCTGAGGTGTGCCAAGGGCAGTGAGCGAACATAGCACAGGACCTCTGGAGAATTTAAAACTTCCTACTGTGTTTGGGCTCCATCGATGGACAAAAATGTACAAACTGAAGTCTGGCAGTAATCATTTCAATTACATCTCATTCAATGATGAATTAAAAGTATCTCCTTATAACAAGCATTAGTTTTAAGGACCATTTGTTTCCCTGGCACACGTGTAGGTGGTGCGCTTGCAATTCAGACAGTCTGGATCATAAATTTTAAGCTACACACAGACATCCACAAAGGGATCCACGTAAATCCTTGCAGACTTGGGTGGGTGACAACATTTACATCACATGGAATGCATGAATTGGCCTCAAAGTGGAGGGTTTAGGGCTGTGGGTGCTTTTAGACCATAAAGCCTGTCTTGTAAGGGCAACCACCAAACCCTGTTGACTGCAACCATCACCAGGGGAGTTCTAGCTCAGACTAACACACCTCAGGAGACCTGCACGGCACCCACAGGGAATGTGATGAAGGGGAAGTGGCTCTATTATCAAGGGATATGACGGGCAGTTAGGATCCAGGGAGGGAGCACACTTGTGGTTTGTTCTTGCAACTGAACTGTTCGTTTTCATTGGGTGCTTTCAGGGCACTTTGCATCTAAAGCATTTAAGTCAAACTATTGAATTTTCTATTGAAGAACTTTCTTATTTCTATCACTACAGTTTTATCACACAGGCCTACATGCATATATACTACATTTTCATATCAGATTAAATCAATTTTGTATGTCTAAAGTTTATAGGGATACTCAATCAAAAGACAGACACTCTTTCATTATTATGTTCATCTTTCATGAGTGCAATGGCTTCAATTCATACTAGAATACACCAACAGTGACAAGTATCACACCAGTCCCAGAAAGTTGTCAAACCACGACAGCAGAATAATCCCCTTCTAAGCTCTACATCTGTACTACAACCTCCACTGGTGATATATTTTCCATTAACTACCCTGAGTTCTTCCACAGGACTACAGGCTCAATGTATTTCTACGGCAAAAATGGAATGACCCTCGTCTGGCATACAGCGAATACCCCGACGACTCCCTTGATCTGGATCCATCCATGTTGGACTCTATCTGGAAACCTGATTTATTCTTTGCAAACGAGAAAGGAGCCAATTTCCACGAGGTCACTACTGATAACAAGCTGCTGCGGATTTTCCAAGATGGCAGTGTTCTTTACAGCATCAGGTAAAGCAGAGCTGTGCTGAGTTATGTGTAGTTGGAGAATGACTTAAGGGGCTCAATCAACCTCCAGCTGCAGTATGATGTGTAAAATCCCCTGTATCACATCAACTGTTTGATATAACACCTGCATGTAAGAGGTTACTGGTAAATAAAATCAAGCTTTTTTTTTTTTTTTTGTAGAAACTGCTTTAAAATGTGCTAATTAGATTCTGCGGCAATAATTTGTATCCCAGTGCAGACTGCCTTAAATAAAATGGAATTCTGCCATGCCTTTAAATATGTCTGAGGTTTAATTTATATGATCGACATGAAACAAGAGAAAATATTCTCTAGAGAAGCCCGTTTCCGTACATTTCTGCCAAATAAAGTGAAGAAAAAAGCTGAAAATATGATTGCCACTCAGCCCGGTCCAAACAGGCAGAAAGTAAACAAATCCCAAACATACATGACCTCTCGACTACAATGGCAGCAGAATGCTAAATTGCCAGTCGCATGCACCCCCCCGCTGCACCTTTCCACCCAGTTAGGTGCGCTGCAGGTCACCAAAATACTAATAGGGTGCAAGCAAGAAAAAAAGAATCTCAGAAATGTCAAGCGGCAAGTGTGTGACAGAGGCTTTGAAGTTAGTTTGTTTAATGACACTCTGCACCAGATGAGAAATGTGCAGATGGCTTATTAAACCACAGCAAGAAGGTCTTTTAGTCACTGCTGGTGTGTGTCACGTAAGTTCCCATTTTACAACTTTACACATCTTGGAAATGTAAACAAATTGATATGCAGACTAAAAAGGTGTACAAAATGTATTCTTACAACCGAGCCTTTGCTTATTTCAGGCATGAAAGCAACTGCAACAAATTGTTTTTTGTACAAAGGAGTAATTTTGTCTGTGAAACCACAAAATGTGTCCCTTTATGAACACCATCTCTTGTGTGATATCCCCCAAGCAGTTTTAATGTCTTCACAAATCTGTTTATTGTAATAGAGCTTCAATATTTTTCGATACATGACAATATTCACAATATTTAAGTTTTATTTTTTAATATGCTTGATTTAATACAAGTGGCAACGTCTTTGGCAAGAACGAGAGACGTGCAACACAAGTCTACTCACAGTCACAATACTGCAAACACAGATAATCGCCTCCTCATTTAACTGATTTACTGCATCTTCTAGATTTGCTTACTAACTACCTTTGGCAATTATGGATCAACCCCCTCTGCACTTGAAGCACATGATACAATTTAGGCAATGTTAGAACAGTCAGTCACTGGAGTATTTGTAGTTTGTTCTTGAGCTGGTGAATAAAATATTGTGTCATCATAACACAGTAGCAAATGGGTGCCTGTGTGTATACTGCTGGCGGCTCTTGTCTCGCCTCTGGGCAATGCATTACAGCAGGTAATTACGCTGCTTTCCTCCAGACAGACTCCCAAATAGCTCCCCTCTCTCTCTCTTCTCTAAGAATTCTTGAAGGCTTAATGCATCAACACCACAACAAATAAAAGTAAGGATGCCTCCACCAATTACTTTGCTATTACTGCGGCGCGTGGAGTCATCAAACAGCAGAGTAACTGAAGATGCTTTCCAATCTGTTGCTTTTACATTTATCCAATTTTACTGGATTGAACGCTTTCATACAGACTCTTGTATTATATCATGCAAAACAAAGCAACTTGACACTGATTTATTTCTCTGTTCTTTTTATCTGTGATCCTATCATTCCTCCTTATGTTTGGTGCCGTTTCCTTGAGCCCTTTCGTGCCTTTTGACATCCCCCTTTTGGCTTCTATTCTCTCTTCCAATCTGTTTTTCTATCTCAGGCTGACTCTTACCCTGTCCTGCCCTATGGACTTGAAGAATTTCCCAATGGACATTCAGACCTGTACCATGCAGCTTGAAAGCTGTGAGTTTTCATTTCTTCCTCTTCCTTTTGTCTCACTTTTCTCTTTTTATCTCCCTTTGGTTTCCTGTTTTCTACCTTTTGCCTTGCTTGTCAAGTGTCCATCCTGGTTGTATTCCAAGAGGCATGAACTCCATCATAACTGTAAGTTTGTTTGAGGCTATCTAGACTGTTTGTGGTCATTTATTACTGATACTGGGAAGGTGGTTTAAACAATCAAGCTAATAAGTCATCCATGTATCATGGAGTCAAAGCATTTCCCCCGAACAATTGTCTGGGCATAACTAGGCAACAGTAACAAACCATAGTCTATGAAGTTTTTTTTTTCACCCTAATGTGAGGCTAATGTACATACTTTATCAGTTTAAGTCTGATGTCCAGTGTGGCCTAATGACGATTTCCAGGCCCCAAATGGAAACGGAACCTTTGAACCCTTCCATGATCGCGTCTATCTTTAATGAGGCTCCACTGAGGGATAAAAATGAAGATAAGTGTAGCTGTTCAGGTGGAATAATCAAGGGTCTAATGCAGGCATTCATGAAAAGAAGGATTTATGAGGCTGAAATAAGTTAGCGGTTAGCAGTCCTCTCGCCAGCTAGTTGGCATCCAAAGATGACTTACCATGCCCTGGCTGAGGTATTTCTAAAAAAAAAAGCCAAACAAACAAACAAACCAAAAAAAAACCATGCAGGACTGCTTTAATGGTGGATGTAAACAAAAATGAAAAACTAAATATGCACAGTTGCTAAGTTTTTGAGTTTAGGATAGTTAACATGTAAGTATCTGCCATCCACCGGCTTGCTACATACGTATTATTAGAAAGCTGTAAAAGCAGAGCATGTTAGGGTGAAATGGTGAGGTACATCTGCAAGTGTCCAGAAACGTGCCATCATATGGCAGCCTTATTAATCTGAGTGAGGAAAAAGGCATCCCTGTTGTTGAATGTGTGAGCATTACCAGGAAGCCTACAAAGACAACTGATTTTTTTTTTCTGGATTCACATCTATCCAAACAACACACAGCTGCGTTATGTATAAAATGATGAGAGCCTTGGACCCCGAAACATATCAGGTCGACGCTTCACATCTCAACAAGCAGATGGGCCTAAAAGTGCACAAGTGAGCGGAACATCCAAGTTAGGCAGCATCTTGCAATCTGGCATTCCCCTTAATGTATCCATGACAGTAACAAACTGAAGCCGGAGGAATTTTATGCCGCATTATTTTGTGAAGTGACATGTTATGTGAAAAATGCCCCATAACAAGCCCATCTACTGTTCAGTATGACTCCGTGTAGTAGCTGGTAATGGATGCTGCTGTATCATAGCAGCTCTGTCTCTTTATTAGATTTGGGGAATTTTCCACTTCAGCAACACCAGGCAACCTTCTATGAGATTACATTAAATTTACCAAACACTAGTTCACTCTCATTCCTAAAAGGCTTTTCTCATCTAATGTTAAAAAGAGAAAACAGCCTGTCTCAAAGCTAAGCACAAACCTCTGCTTTGCCAAGTATGTAAACTAAGCAGCGACATGGATCATCAGCTGGTGAGGATGCTGGTTGTCTTTTGTTCCAGAGAAATGTTGTTTCACAATACCTTGCACAATATTGCTACTGTCATTTTAGCCAGCAAAACTGGCGGCCAGTTGCTAGAGATTGGAAACCAGCTTGCTTGTACCCCTACGTAAAAAGTGAGCAACCGTTGTTTCAGAGATTACAAAGATTTTAGATCTGCTACCTTGAACAGCGTAAAGGTCACGGGATGAAAAGCTTGACAGGTCTAACAGTAACTAAGGGCCATGGGGTTTTAACAAAAGTGTTTCTGCTCATTTATCAAAAGTAAACAGTCGAGGAAACGCACAAAAGACATTTGAAACCTTTTAAAATGTTGTTGCGCTGATAAAACATGAGGTAGAAATAATATTCTCCTCCTTCAGTCTTTCCTTGCCTTTAGCAGAGATAGCATCTGCCCTCATGGAACCAATTTCCAGGATATAAATAATAAAACTTTAATTTTGTGTCCCTTTTATTATATGTGACCCACCCCTGTGCCTAGAGGTGACCCAATTTCTCACCATAGGAACAAAAGAATTTAAGTCTAGCTACGGGTGAAAGAGACGGAGCCCTCGTACCATAAAGTCATCTTTTCAGCAGCATTTCTTTCAAATAAATAAGTCAAGCCTAATGCTTGTATCACTACCTACATCCTTATCTGAGTGAACAGGAACAATAGGTATTGGGGTTTTTTTCAAACTAGTCCCCGCTTTGCGCACCAAGTAGCATGATTTATTGCTGCAAATTAACACAGGGACAGATTACGAAATCCAATAGACTAAAAACAAAAATATAAAGCCATTGTGCCCTCTGGCAGAGTGAGAGAGACTCAGGTAAACAGATGTGTGCCTGAAGCGGCAGTGTGTATGTGCGTTTCTTGTGTTTGGATAACCGTATCGCATCACACTGCCATTAGAGGAGATGTAATCATTTCTGATTACAGGCCTAGTGAGGATACTTGGCCTTGTGTTGACAAGTGTTGGTACACCACCCAAGGGTGTGATCACCTTGGCTAGAGCCTAATGTTAAGAGGACATTATAGGTTTTACCACCACTACTGGAGCTGTGGCAACACCATCTGTTAAACACGAAAAAGAGTAAGACGGGAGGCTGATTTTAAAAAGAAAAAAAGGAGCTATCTTTGGGGTTTGAGAGAGCCAAGGCCAATCTTCTTTTCTGGCCTTTCATGCCACAGGCTTATATAGATGTATAAATAGAGCCAACTATAGGATTCTGCCTTATTCTTAAACATCAAAGCCCCATATATGCAGCTTATACCACTTTGCTTCGCCTTGAGCCATTAGTGTCCAGGAACCTCAATTCTACTTTGGAACTTACACGCTAAGTGAAAAAGCAAGACTAAGACACCAAAGCATAACAGTAGCTGCGCTGAGATAGTAGCTTTCATTAGGAGAACGACTTTTCAACATGAAAAGGGTGATGGCATGTGACTAATAGCCATCGCTCTACCTTGCTGAGATATTCCAGACATTCTGGCTCATGAATTTCATTTTTATTGCACCTTGAACACTGTGTCAGTTATGTTGTGACGCCAAGCTGCAGAAGACGACCATTTCATTATCTTCGGAACGTATTGGCATTCCCCTCGGTTGTTGCAGCAGGATGTGTGAATGACAGTGAATTCTTCTCATGAACAAGATACGTGTGTTTTAGCGGTGGTGTTTTTCAGACTGGTTTTACGAGGTTGGGTACAGTATCTTGAATAATTAATGTCTTTGTAACTCAGGCCCTAAAGGGTCCCAGCAGACGTCAGTATTATTCAGATATGCAACTCCACATTGTTGTCGCGTGCAGCATGCATTTTTAATACACCTATAATCAGGCAGCTGTGAGAAGGAGCACAAGCCTTGACATCATGCAAATCAACACATGTATTCATTTGTGTTTCAAGCATGTAGGCAACATATTAACTAGCTCCTCCCGACTTATCTCATCCAAGTGCTTCACTAAGCTTTATATTCAACTGTGAAAATAGGCTATGACATCTATATATTCTATTATGGTTCAGTTTGTACATAACTGCATTGGCATGAATGCACTAATCAGCTCAGTGTGTGTGTGAACACATACAATATCTCCCACTGTTTTCTGCAGATATGCTCCTCGTGTCCTCCCGTATTTGGTAACCTTCAAACAACCATGGCAACACCAGTGTAGCTGTGCTGGGTGTGACCTTTACTGTGACAAACAGGATGGCAGAGGGTAGCTGGTAGCTGGACAGATGGGCAGAGGAACATTACATCACCACAGTCTTCCAAGTTTTATTTCCACTACCTCTCCAAAGCCTCCTTTGCCAAGGATTCTAATGTTTTCCCATGCACAGATTTTATACTGTGGTAACAAGATCCCAGTGAAAAATGAGGTTAAGGAGGAGGAAGAGGAGGGGGAATGACAATAGTGAGGAGAATATTTATCAGCTACCGAAGCTGGTTACTTGATTTTATCAGTTTTTTTTGTTTTTTTTTTAAATAAACAGACTGTTAGTTTATTTGTAAATACAGAGCACTGGCAAATATGTTGAATGATGCATTCTGCAAATATGCAGCCTTGTTTTGACAGCTACTTCTCAGATGTTGTGACAGCATTGTTCTTATATTGGTGAAAATTAGGCTGTGTAAATATAGTCTTGTCGTAGTTCTGCACTACAGTGGTGATGGTGATTTGACTTGGGTTGATGAAAACTGAACACATTTTAAATATTTTATGTCAGATATTGAATGGGCAAAATAATGAACAATGGTGTATCACATTTCCTGCTTTATCTACTTCATGTCATTTTGAAAAGCACCAAATGCAGGCCTGACAATAGTAAGATGCATCACCATACAATGATTTCAAACATTATGTAATATTACACTGTAAATATATATATATATTAGAGTTTAACTGTAATTTTTTGAACAGTTTACTGTTATTTTACAGACGTTTCCTGTTTTGTTAAATTACAGATAACCTGTAAAATCTGTCAATTTTACCTGTAAATTAACCATTGACAATGCTTTATAAAATTACACTACTTTTACTCAATTTAAATTAGCTCCCCAAAAACGTCATTTGACAGATGTCATGTACGTTTGAAATAAAAATGATGTGTATTATGGGATTTAAAAATCGACAATATTTATTTTACAGATGTTCCCCATTTCATTAAATTCTAGATATTAACTAAATCACATAAGAAAATAATTAGTTAAATGTTTAAAAAGTAAAACATGGCAAAAAATATAATTGTTTTACAGATATTAAGTTTTTATCCTTTTCAATCATACAATCATGCACATTTTTTTCTGGCACCCTTGCTGACATATTTTTTGCATATATATATATATTTTTTACAGATTTTAAATTTTCTTTTTTACAGTGTACAGTTCACAAAGTTAAAGTAAGAAAGGCACATTTCTCACCGTTTCCTTCTTTGTATAAAAAAATTTTCTATCGTCTTTGTGCTCTTTTCACAGTTGGTTACACCATGAATGACTTGATCTTCGAGTGGCTGTCAGAGAACCCTGTTCAGGTGGCTGATGATCTCACTCTACCCCAGTTCGTGCTAAAAGAAGAGAAGGATTTGGGCTACTGCACTAAATACTACAACACAGGTGCATTATAAATTCTATTTAAAGTGTTGAGAATCAAAGGACTTCATGGTAGAATTCTAAATTGTTTTTGTGTGTTTCGGCCAGTCATTTCTCCAGAGGCATCAAATGGTTGAGCCACAGTTTCCCTTCAATGACAACCATTTGTTAAATGCAGCAGTAGTTGTTGTGGGTACTTAACCCTCAATCTGCTGCAAAACTATGGTTACATGAAATCTGCTTTTACCAAAAGTGTACTTTGACACACTTGATCTGTTTCCTTTACCTACATTTGCATTTTACCTCACCACACACAAACACAAAGTTATTCTAAAATAAAAAAAAAAGAGAACTTTTGACGCAAAACAGACTTGAATTGAATGTCAACATCATGTGTCTGCAGGTAAATTCACCTGCATTGAGGTGAAGTTCCACCTGGAGCGTCAGATGGGTTACTACTTGATCCAGATGTACATCCCCTCCCTCCTCATTGTAATCCTCTCGTGGGTGTCTTTCTGGATAAACATGGATGCTGCACCAGCCAGAGTTGGTCTGGGCATCACCACTGTCCTGACAATGACCACACAGAGCTCTGGTTCAAGAGCCTCACTGCCCAAGGTGAGTCTGCAGCCGAGCGACCAGTGTTGGGGTTGACACTTTTCAGGGTAACACGTCACTGTCGTCACATTATATGTAGCAGTAATATAATGCTTCACTGTTCCTCAATTCAATAATCGCACTACAGTTATGTAGCATTAACAACAGCTTGAAATTGCATGTTTTCATCAAAGCATCACCAGAGCTTATTGGGAAAAACTTCAAATTGAGTGTGAATGGAATTGATCAAATTCATTTATATGAACTGGTCTTATAGTAGGAAGTTATATTCTAATTTTAGTGACCTCCAGTTGCCGAAAAAAGACTGATAATATGCTACTAACAATAACACAACAATGACAACAACATGCTAACTGCACCTTTAAAAGACAATATGTGAGTGATTGAATGCAGGACTAAGTTTGGCTTTGAAACTATGCGACAGGTAAGAAAACTGCGTGACTAGCTGTGTTTCTTGTGTTCTTATGTGTTGTTTGTTTTCTCTCCGCTATCCTTTTTTCTCTCCCCTTTATCCCTCACCCCAACTGGTCGAGGCAGGTGGCCACCCTCCCTGAGCCTGGTTTTGCCGGAGGTTTCTTCCTGTTAAAGGGGAGTTTTTTCTTCCCACTGCCGCCAAAGAGCTTGCTCAAAGGGAATCTTTGGATTTTGGGTTTTTTTTCCCTCTATGTTGTAACATCATAAGGCCTTAACTTTACAAGTGAAGTTCCCTGTGAGGACTGCTGTTGTGAATTGGCGATTTATAAATAAAATGGAATTGAGTTGATGGTCACTGGAAGCAGCGGTGAGTTATTTAAAATCGCGTTAGAACCCAATTTAAATTCTAATTTCACCCATTTAGCAGATAGAACGTGTTGCTTGCATTGCCTTGGAAATAGCTGCTGAGTTAATACAAGGATTGGTACCTTTGCCCAGTAGCAAAGGAGATGGCACCTAAACGAGACTGTCAAAGGAGAGCCTACTTTTACCGGTAACAAAGAGTAACCCAAGTTGCATTCCAGTGACTACCTTTTATTGGGAATTTTTTGGAGCAAAATTGTGATCAGCATCTAACCAATCATGGATGTGTTTACTTCCAGGGGTGGTGTTAAGGTTCAAGTCCCCTTCCACTAGATACACAGTCCATGAGAGGTCAAAGGCCAAATACTTCTAGAACTAACTTTAAGATAATTTCTTATATATCCATGTCTGGTTGCTAAATAACTACAAGGAAGAAAAGATCGGCGGTCCTGGTGCCCAGGTGATGAAAATGAGATCAAACATGATGTTTATCTCATATGGTTACTGAAATAATAATAGATGGTTTAAACATGCAAATAAATTTTGTTATTTATATGCATGCATTTTTTTTAAAGTGTAATTTTTTAAATATTGAGAATACAAATGTCCAAATGATGAGTAATATATTAATGAATATGATGAAACTTGTAAAGAGTGGGCGTTTGTGTGTCTCTTGGAGGTTTGTGTGTTTGTGTGTTTGCCACACACACTCACGTTTCAAGGAGTTTTGTCCAATATTGAATGTGCAGGATGACAAAGTGGCCTGGATTTCTGAGTCCAGATTTTGAGTCATTACTCCAATGGTGTTTGGTTTCCTTAGTCTTTAGTTTAAAATGTGCAGTTGATTCAGGTAGAAAACTCTCAGTGTTTAGAAGATCTGGAGGTGAGTTGCAGGTCCCTACAGCTCCTGTGATCTAAAGACGACTGTGGAGACTCAGCACTGACACTCTGAGCCATTATTAGTTCTGATAGGAGGTAGGACACATCTCCTGTTGTCATATGAGGTTGTCTTTTGGCTGTAAACATCTGTCTGGTTTGTTAATCGGTGCTTGTCGCAGATGGTCAGATGAACAAAAGTCTTGATAGTTGTCTTATCAGAGTAACCCAAATGGCTTCATACCAAAATGTACACATGTGAGGAAGGGTCTCGCTATGACATTTCTCTGTGAAGTTCTCTTTGTACTGGTTTTCACAAACGTTGCTGTTGACTTTGTGGTACTACTCTGAAAGAGAAAAGGTTTCGTCTATGTTCTCCTTATCAGTGGGGGGTTTGTGCCGCTATGTGAGCATATGTAAGGTTTAACATGATTTGTTGCAAAGCAGAAACATCTCAGGTGATGTTGCAAAGTTAGACAAAAATAAATGAATCATTAGTGTGATGAATTACTTTCTGCAGTGACTACATTAGTAAAGTACGACTTTATTTTTTGGAGTAACGACCTCACCACTGCTAGTGACCATTAATTGTGATGGTTTGTACGTCATGGCGGCCGCTGATGCATGATGTAATCAGACGTAAACTAGTCAGCCAGAACCCAGACATGAAGGCATTTGAAAAATCAATGAAGCACAAACAAAGTGTAATTTATCTGCCACAGAACCTAAAATATCAGTCACAGAAAACAAAAAACCTATTTTGTAACCAATCATATGCCCTTCCTTCTCCAAAAAGCAAGTATGTATTAGAGGAAATAGCATTACATAATGCTATCAGCTCAAGAAAAAGGTCAGTGACTAAATAAAAAAAAATATAAACGGGAGCTTGGCCTGAGTTTGAAACTTGTAGACTATTCTGACATTTTGCTTTGACATATTCCCCCAAAAATGATACATGATTTAGAAATACCATTACCTTTTGTTCCTGATATTTCCTGACGAGGCCAACACAAAGGCTCCGTGAAACAGTGACAGATGCTGAATGTCTGTAAACGACATTGTAAAAGGTATACTGGCAATGAAACAAACATTTAAAGGATGGTTTGAGTATGGACGACCTATTGGGGTGTATTTAGGTATGACGTGACGATTTTGCACGAAGCTGATCCTGATTCAGGACAAGCATGGAGACTAATTAGGGAGAATATGATACGCATGCCGCTGCCGGTTTGTTTATTTCAAATTCCTCTGTATGTACAGTATCTGTATCAGTCAGCAAACTGCTGCACAACTGAGTGAAGTTTCCACACAATGCCTGCTCAGTGGGCGTTGCTGATGTGCTGTGACATATCTTCTCTCATAAATGACACGGTCGGGGCGCTGCCCAAGTCTTAGCTGTGACCTGTCTCATGGCTATGTGTCAACTGCCCACATCCCAATGACTCATTCCAATTCTAGGTCATCACCAAGATGTGTGTCATTGTAGGCCACAGCTGAGGAATGTGTGGATTGTGAACAACCCACGAATTATCTATCAGCCTCATTGATTGGCTATTGATTACTCTGTGACCTTGTCTGTTCCCAGGTGTCCTATGTGAAGGCCATTGACATTTGGATGGCAGTGTGCCTTCTGTTTGTGTTCGCTGCCCTGCTGGAGTACGCAGCAGTTAACTTTGTCTCGAGGCAACACAAGGAGTTCATCAGGCTGAGGAAAAAGCAGCGGCAGCAGAGAATAGTAAGTGTAAATCACACAGACAAACACACGCACAAAAGGAAACAAGCACAATGAAACACTGCCACACATGGAAAGTAAGCACGAGGAACACACACACACAAACACACAAACACACACACACACACACACACACGTCCTTGTCAGGCCCTATAACATTGACTTATGCCTCTTGTTATTCTGGGATGCTGTATATTCAGGAACAGACAACATCAACACGCTACAGCTGGCTGTCATATTACATGAGGAAGATCTGCTCATTTCAGTTCAGCTCGTTTCCACGGCAAGCGCTGACCTGTGAGGTGCCTGGTGATCCTTTACCTCTGTCACTACATTTGAGAGAAACAGTCTTTCTACCGGCCTCGTGGCACCAGCAGCCCCTCACCCTGCATCCACCCTCAGACCACTATTTTGATATGTTTGGACAGTGTGACAGCGGTCCGCTCTAGCACTTGTACATCTTTAAACTGTTTCTCCGTACTGTGTTCTAATAAGGCATGCCTAAAAGGAAAAAAAAAAGAAAGAAACTTTGGAAAATATGCTTATTTTGTCTTCTTGCATTTGTCTGTGAAATATAAAGTCACAGCCGGCAGCTGGTCAGCTTAACGTAGCATAAAGGCTGAAAACAGGGGAAATCATCTGGCGCGGCTCTGTCCAAAAGAAGAAAGAAATCTGTCCATCATCACCTCTCAAGTTTACCAATTCAGGCTACACCTCATTTGCTTAATTCATACAAAAACAAAACAAAAAAAAGAGTCCAAGCTGACATTTTGTGGCTATACGGCGTTATATATGTCAGACGAGTTTTTTGGCTGGGAGCAGTAAATTTCTGGAGCTTCTGCTCAACCTCACAATTTTTTGAGCCCCTCTGCTTCTAATCGTTACGCTAAGCTAAGTTAACTGGCTGCTGACTGTAGTTTCATGTTTTATGAACAGATATGACAGGAGTAGCCACACAGCATTTTTACAAGAGTCTTGGTGTAAAAGAGAATAAGCACATTTCCCAAAACTTTTTCTTTGACACTGTTTTAGAAGTTTCAGGAAACTATTTGGATTTGTAAGTCTTAATAAATAGACCAATATTGGATCCATTTGTATGCAGAGTAATGGAAACAATCCTTAAACTTGGCACACTGTGTTTTCTCCTCTTGCATAACTTGCTGTTTTAACTTAACTTGGTAATTCTTCAGGAAGACATTATGAATGTAAGGTTTGACCAGTGTTTCCTGACCAAAACCCAATATATGAACACTCACAGCTCAACATTTCCTGGATTATTGTACCGCTTCAACCACGACTAATATAACAGGAAACATGATGGCTAATATAAAGTGACAACACCTTTTATTTATGACCATTTCCCAGTAAGTTATTGAGCCTACGGTTAAACTCTTAACGTTTGAGGAGCATCAATTAAGCTCTTTCTATTACACAATAAAGTCAGCAAATGTAAATACAAGTTTCTTTTAAATGGATGCCTGGATGTGCAGCAATGTCAGCCTGGAAACTTACAATTTGTTCTTAATATCTGTTTGTTAATCTGTAACATATTAATACATTGCTTCTTAACATTACTTAATCCATCACTTACAGCTCTAACCTTTTAAAAAGTTTAATTTAATAATAATTTGGCTTTTTTTTTGTATCCAAACATACACCTGCTAAACTGCATCAGAGCAACAACTGTTAAAGCCGACAGCTTGTAAGCGGACAAATAAAAGCGTCCAAAGAGAGGTGAGAGACACAGTGATGTTTGCCTGAAGACAAACAGACAGGACATCTTGAAAATCCCATTACACAGCTCAGAGACTGGGCTGCCTCCCAGACTCATGGCAAAGTTCCCTGTAAATGCAGAAGAGTCCAGCAGATTTACTGGGCAGTCTGCCCTCCAGCATCGATACGGGAGAGAGAAAATGATGGTCTGTAGAGGAAAGGACTTCCCCTGTCCACATCAGCTGCACAATTACTCCCACTGAGGAGTTTGAGGTCACTAACTATCCATCTGAGAGGTATTGACGCATGACCCAATCGGTTGTACTAAAGGAGACGTTGGGAATCTGATGGAGCGGACGAATCCTAGACCGACCGAGGCTTAATCAATGCAACTTTCCATCCTTGTGTTTGGCTTAAAAACCACCTGAGACTTCAGACAGCCACTCTATAGCAAGCACTGTATATCCACACAGCCTTCAAAACGATAAAAAATAAATAATCTGAACAGCCATTTATAGTCTTTACAGAAATAGCTTCAACCGGCTCCTTGAGGATTCTTTCTTTGTCTTCAAAAGGCAGCTCTCTTAACTAAGAGTTGCAGATAATGTCCTGTATTATCAGACTCACAGTGCCTCTTTAATTAAAAGCTGAGAACGTCTGCTTGAGTTTGTTGTTTGGATTTGAAGTTTGCATATTTTATCACTGTATTTTTGGCATGGCGCAGGTTCTTTTTATTATTTAAATGAAGCCCTGACAAGTCTTGTTTCTTGCAAAATGTGAACGCCTGTGTCCAGAATCGATTATAAATTTAACACAAATTAATATCTTTGGAAAAAAAAAGGAAACCTCTTGTTTTTACAACAAAGATGAAATAGAAAGCAATAATGATTGTTTCAATTTGTCTACCTTCCTTCCTGTTGGAGGTGATTGCCAGTCAGCCGGGCAGTGTTGAGTCGTTACGGAAAGCCAATGACATCCCCGGTAACAACTCAACCTACAGGAATCTGAATCAGCACTGCAGCGCCTGTGCCAGGGTAAAAAAAAAAAAAAAAGAACCCTGTGTCAACCCTGACCTTCCAACCCAATTTTTGTCCAAGCCTCCAGCCTCCCAAATTGATTGTGTTGTGCAACTTTCACCTCAAACATGAATTTATTCTGGCCTCTCTCCCTCAACCAAACCCACGTTGTGCTGATCTCACCCCGACTCTATAGTCTCCCTCTGACCTTCTGCTCCTCTATACCAATGTTGTTAACTTGGAGTTCTTGTCCTTCATTTTCCCCCAATGTGTGACCTGTTTTAAGGTTAATTTAAATTCAGCATACATTTCTTTCTTCCTCTAGTTCCTCTCCTCGTCATCAAAATTTTAACCTGCTTTGTACGCTCCCAAAGTTTTGGCATTTACTTAGACAGCACAGTGTGTGTTCTATCTAGTTGTCTAATTTTAATCGGAAGAATAGCAACTTGGGAAATACCTCTATTTACTTTCTTGCTTTTGTTGAATAAGAATATTGCTCTTACGTGTGTACATATGAAGCTATACCTAGTTGCTGGTTCGCTTCACATATCATAGCATAGCTAGCTTGGCTTTATTCATAAAGTAAGAAAATCCCACAAAGCACCTCTGAAGCTCCCCAATTAACTGATTATATTACTTTTCTTTTGGGTGTGTCGATTAGACAAAGTGGAAAAACTAAAGCTCTGGGTGTTTTGTTTTGGGTTTTTTTTGCTACTGTAACATTTTTTTCTCACTGTGGGATGATTTTTAGTACCTGTATGGAAACAGCACAACCATGACTACAAATAGAGAGATCTCAAATGTGCTTTGTGCCGTAGGACACAGTTATAATGCAATGTATCATTTAAAAAAAAAAAAAGAAAGAAAAGAAAAAAGAAGGAAAAGAAAGCTCATTTCGTTTAATTATTTTACAAAAACCCTGAAATCAATGTTTAGGACATTTTTCCAAGTGCCTCAGATACTACCAATACTGATAAAAAAACATTGACTCAACATACTATAGATATTTTATGACTTCCATACTTGTACTCATGTATACTCGGCTCTGCTTTGTCTGATCTTAGCTGAAAAGTCCCTTAATTTTTCCCTGACAATTTTTTTTACAATAAGACATGTAGATTAATATGATTCTGATGAAATATCAATATTTTTAGCATACATTTTGATCATTTTCCAAAAGGAAGTCCATGTCGAACATAACTAGTTTAAAATTCAGTGATTGTTTCTGCTTTTACAGCTTGTAGCTCTCATAAACCGTGTGATGCAGAGCTCTCCATTTACCAAACAGATGTGAGAGTGGTATCAATCTTATCAAGCTGTCAGTCCCTGAACAAGCATAGCTCCCAAAATGTCAAACGCTCTAATGATCTTTAGTTACACCTAAACATAAACACTCAAATGACTGGATTATGCTGCAGGTGTCAGCTGTTTTTACTGAGCTTGGAAAATCCAGTTTTACTCACTGTGCAACCTGCAACCTGGAATAACATGAACAATCTAAAGCTTGACTCATTTTATCTTTAGGGCATTTCTGGTATTTCATTTTGTCTTACTTTACCGCTTGTTTTAGTCTGATCCGATCCTTTTTTTTTTTTTTTTTTTTAACTTAAATGCTATAATTATACTAAATGTTTAAACATGACTCACTTATAGTAAACCTTCTTCTTATGTGTGCCGGCATCTGTTATTTTCTTCTTCAGCTATATTGTGAATAAGGCCTCCATACCTCAGTGTTTTCTGAGTTTAAATAAAGGTTGACATTGTCACCGACTAAAGACAACCATTTTCACTACAGCTTTATCCTCCAAAGAGCACAATGTGATAATCAGAGCAGGTTCAACTGATCTTATGGCAACAAATCAAAGTGTGTAGCTGCTGCTGAGGGCACGGAGCAGAAACGATGAGCACCTATTATCTTTAGAGAAACGCACCATTAGACTTTCGCACATGATGTACTGTATCGTTTAAGAAAAAGTAGGGGGGATAATTAAGCTGCGCCAGAAGAGCTACAACTCCCTATCCTACTGTTGTACGCCGCAATTTGTCACTGGGGCAACGGATAGCTAGTAATCGTAAAGTTATTCACATCCAGGCGACTGTGAGAAGGAGGAAGTTTGCAGTAAATTAAGTTAGCAGCTGCCTTCAGCTAAACCTGTGAAGGTCCAAGCAAAGGGCAGCTGGCAGAGATCAGAGGGAGGGAAAGTGTTTTTAAGGACTAAATGAATACACTCTGCAAGCGAAGTTTAACAGTATGAGACAGGTGGAGACAGGTGGGAAATACATAAGTAGCACTAGATGTGTGACAGGAGCTGTTGGTGCCTCTCTGCCAAGTCTGTCCAGCGCCGCGATGCGAAGGTCGGCAGAGAACCAGAGAGCTGCCAGGGTCAGCAAGAGAGAAACAGAGAGAGGCGGGATGCAGGGATCAGAGCTTTCAGGGCCCTTCACACCGACTACTAATCATCCAATTTAGATCCCACATCTTCACTTTCCGCTGCTAAAGTGAATCTCTCAAAGTGTCAGAGGGCTGTCAGAGTTAAGCTGCATGTCTATTAATATTCTCCTCAAAGGGCGGGAGCTGTGTCTCATTCACTGTAAAGAAAAAAAAAAGAAAAAAAAAGTGCAGCGCCATTCATCAAAGCATAATGCCGAGTGGAGGCTTTTTTTTTTTTTTTGGTGAGATCATGACTTTATTAATATTTTGAACCGTTTTATTAACATTTTGAAAGGTCTATCATTACGCAACTTTGAGAGGGGCTGCAAAGGAGAGATGGAGGTTAATTTTTTGATTAACTTTCAGAATGACAAATTTTCTTTTTCCTCCTAATGAAGATGCCCTCTGATACCCCATTTTAGTGTTATAGGAACTTTAAAAAAGCTAGACTGATTAAAGAAAATTTACATAAAAGGTAATAGCTGCTCAAGCACCCTTCAAGTTCCTCTTATCACACATCTGTTTTTCTGAAAAAGATATACCTGCTGAACCCATAAGGTCATTGAACAACACTTAACCTGTGCATTTCCATAATCCTGAAAGACTCTCGTAACCAGACTGGATGCAAAAATGTGGCTGTACTGTAAAAAGCAGAAGCGATTATGTTTAATAATTACATCATATTTGTCTATATTGGCATCCATTTGTATTATTTTCTATTTTACAACAAAATACGTTCATTAGTATTTTTTTTGTCTTTTACAGTAGCAAGGATCTTTTTCATTTCTGCCTGCCTGGGTTAGCTGCACCTGGAGAAATAGTTTTTTGATGCTTTTTGGACCTTTAGGGGAGTGTGAGGACTTCTGAAATGTGGTCACAACTTTATGGGTTTTCTAAATATCTTTCATAGTTTATGGGAAACAGGTGCTTACCGAAATTTAACGGTCATATGTGAGAAGTACAAACTGACAAATCAACTAAAAGATTCATTCTCAAAGTCAAACTTTTCCAGGGTGGCTTTTGCCTGCTCTTCGTGCGGGTGTTCTCACTCTGTTGCACTCTGGTGCCCTTTCGTGCCGCTACACCCCAAACGCATTTGGGAATCATCCAGCGAGCGGAAATGTAAAAAGCTGTATGCTAATTACTGTTGACAGCAAGAAGCCAATCTGTTTGTCCCTGTGCTTCGCTCCACAGGAGGAGGAACTGGTGAGGGAGAGCCGCGGTTTTTACTTCCGGGGTTACGGACTGGGTCATTGCCTGCAGACCAAGGATGGCACCGCCGTGGAGGGGGCCACCGTCTTCACCCCCCCGCCGCCACCAGTCACCATGTACGACGGAGAAGTACTTCACAAGCGCTTCGTGGATCGAGCCAAACGCATCGACACCATATCCAGAGCCGTGTTCCCCCTGAGCTTTCTCATATTCAACATCTTCTACTGGGTCACCTATAAAGTGCTGCGACACGAGGACATCCATGCAAATTTGTAAAAAAAACGCTCTCTGCCGACCCCAGATGTTACATTTTGGTTTCTTTTTTCTTTTTTCTCTCAGAACCAAAACTGCCTGTCAGATCTACATTACAATGAGGAAACGTGTCAAGAGGCATTTCTGCCTCTCAGAACCGCTGATAAAAATAAAAAAAAAAAATAAAAAAAACTTTGTGCTCAGGTGCGTCTTCAGGATCTCAGATGAGGAGTGATTAAGAGGAAAGACTAGGTTAAGCTGCGTGGATTCAGGCTGGTGTTGTTTGTGATTGCCCTCTCGTATCTGTCTTGGTTTGACTCGCCTGGATTACAACAAAGACAAAACACTGCTGGTACTCGTGGGTTCATGACCTTTGATTCAGATGATGGAGCTCAGTGAAGTCGATCCTGGCTGAATGAGACATACTGACTTGAATTTTGACACTACGCAGCTTTGAATGAATGTTTTTGAAAAATAAAATAAAAAAAGATCATGGTTTTTTACAACTTTAGATTATTAAATGGGTGCATATGGCTGTGGGGGAGGGGGGGAGGAGTGGGTCTTTGATATTTATGAATATTCAATAGGTGATGATGACTCAATTTAGGTATGTGTAACAAGAGATTATATATATATAAAACAGTGTATAAAAGTGTATATAAACAAAGCTGTTCATTAAACTGCACAAAGCACAAATATGTATTTCCTTTTGTCTAAATTTAAATAAATTGTTATTCTGCCAGGAAACAAGAAATGATTTTTGCTTCTCTTTAACCTGAATATTCAGCTGATTGCTTTGAAAATAGATGCGCTCAGAGATGCTTGTTCAAGTGCATAAGAAATGCGGTCACCGAATAACTGCATCGCACACAATTACTTTCCTATTTCACTTCTTTAATAACTCCCATCAGCTCAGAAATCCCTAGAGGGAAGAAAACCTAAAAGCAAAAGTGGAAATCAAATTCTACAATAATAGAAATTGTAAATGTTGCAGATGTAAAATAGCTAATCAGTTCACATACGCACTTCTGGGTCTTTATAAAGCTATTTGATAGTGGCCGCAGTTGTTAGCTCTGAAAATATACACTTGCATAATAAATCTTGGAAAAACTTGCAGGGGGGAAAAAAATAATAAAAAAAAATTGCATAAGAGCTGCCATTTCTTTCCCAGTCTCAGGAGTGGCTTTGAAGGTGTGGAAATGCAGGGATGCGGTGGAGGGGGAGCATCGCCAGTGAGGGAGGACGAATGGGTTTTTTAATGGGAAATCAGAGGGTTGTTTTATCAACTAATGAGTTTGAAAAGGGCTTGGTGTTCCACTGCTAATGACAATGAATTCAGAGAGGCAGCTGGAGCCTACTGTCCCTTTGTCGGCAATCCTAATCAACTCCTCTGTATTGTACGGTTCCCCTGGTAATGAAAAAGAGTGTGTGGGAATCTGTAAGTGTATATATGTGTGTGTTTTCATGCTTTCCTTTGTTTCTACTTTATTATCTCGTTGTTCTTAGACTGATACAGAATTTCAAACTTTATCACACTTTGTACATATATAATTTTTTTTTGTTGATTGTCTTTTTTTCCAAATGTAAAAGTTGGTTTCATTTACATCTTGGCAGCATAGATACAGCCAAAAACAAGAGGATCCTGCTCATTGCTTCAGACAGCTGAAGGACAAAGTAGCTTGACACATTCGCTGAAGTCCTCCATACTTGCCCCCTGACAGCTTAAGTAGATTTCTAAAACAGAAAGTAAGGGCAAGCAAATGTCAAAAATATTGGCTGTTTCATGTCACTGGCATTTCTTTCCCCATCCTTTAATCCCCAACTCTTCAGGCCTTCAGTTCTACAATTTGGGAAATATGCTTATTTGCTTTCTTGCCTGGAGTTAGTGAAGACTATCTGTATCCCTCTAAGGTCTGGTTCTGTCTCTATCTAAAGGTAAACAAAGATACCTACTAGCAAGTGGAAGGCTCACCAGTTTACACTTTACATCTCATTTGTTTGATCCATATAAAAAAACAAAGGGAAGAAGCAATACATTGTGGTTAGTGCAGATTATGTTTGATGTCCAGCAACCACTTGGTGTCTTTGCACCACTGTGAGGATTTTCTCACCTCTGGACAGAGCAAAGGACGCAGCTTCCCATGTCTCCACTGGCTTTATAAAAAGACTGACAGACCCTCTGTGATGGCGCCTATAAGTTTCCCTAAACAGCAGCTTTGAAGCTCTGTGTGTTGGCTCCAACGGTTCACATCTTGGCAGTGATTGATTTCTCTTAACTCCAAAAATGTGCAAAGAGGTAGAGCATGAGTGGAGCTGAGGTGGGCCATGCAAACATGTCTGGACCTTCCTGTGGTGGTGCCCACCGTTGGTTCAAACAATTGAGATAAATAAAAGTCCACCCCCAGTGCAGTTAACATCGAATGGGAAATTACTTGTAGAGACCAAAACTGTTTTTCACACCGTTCTGTAAACTTGTTAATTTCTGCTGTAAAGCTGAACATTTTAACATGAGGGTCTATGGTGACTGGCTTACTTTTGGACCTTTATTTTATCAGCCCAAGAGATGTCGCTCGCTGGCTTCCAGTCTTAAGGCCAATTCCTGCTTTACATGTCCACAAGGGTACATGTGACTTAACTGTCGTTATCCACCCAAATCCATGGGGGTCCATGCAGACCGTCAACACTACAAATGTATCGACTGCACATGTGCCAAGAATGCAAGCAGTGCTTAAAACAAGTATTTGGTATGAAGAGAGACTGCACAAGGAGCTTCTTGGCCTTCCACAACTTTATAATTCATGATTAACAGAGCTGTGATTAAATTAGTCACTTTGGAGGTCTTTGATTTGTACATGCTTTTTCCATTAACAGAGGACAGAGGGAAGTTCTAATTTCTCCAGAAATTCTGTGTTATGTCCAATCAATGTAGTGGGCACACCTCAGGAATAATCACAATCACACGAAACATGTGTTACAGCCAACCTTTCACAATTGTCCCGTGTGGTTTTTTGGGGGGGTTTTTTGTGTTTGACAGTAGGAGGAATAAGACTACCTGTGCAGACCTATTGCAATAAGAACACAAACCTTTCTGCTTTCTGCTTACTGGTCTGTGGACATGGAAGCATGAAGTAGCCATAAAAGCTAAACTAAGTTAGCCAGCAGTTGGCTGTTGCCTTCAAATTGAACAACAGACATGTGATCTTGTTATTTTACTCACAGTAGCCTGAGATGTGAGGACAGGTAGGCAGTCGCAGAGCAGATTGCTCACCAGTGAGCATTTCATAAAAGCCAGTGCACAAAAGAATCCTTCAGGATCACAATAAACCATTACCAAACTTAAACAGTCACCATTATTACATTCTCCCTATAGGCTTCAGCATTGGTTTTAAAACATATGTTCACCCTCTCGTCCCACAATCCATGTCATCCACACAGTCATCATGACATCAGCCATTGAACAGGTAATTCAAATTCATGATCCTTGACCACGTAGGCTTGTAATATTAAACAAAGACCACTGCTATCACCACACAAAAAACTATTATCAATACAATGACAAAAACAGAAAATCCAGGGCACTCGAACTGAGGTAACAATGGACACCGCACTCAGAAAGCTGCTATTAGAAGGTTAACAACAGACGTGATGTGGCAACGTGGGCAGTTTGTGTGGACAGTTGTGAGCGAGAGAGAAAGAGTGTATTTATGCTTGCTTACTTTGTTTGAAGATGAGGCGTCTATCCTTCTCAACAAAGACGTTAGTGTCAGCATCATAAAACTCATCTGTCTGGGCCTTCACTTTTATGAGTCTCTCATTCTCAATCGATATGAAAGCCAGAGATGAAAGTCTTCCTTACTACATCCCATTTGTGATTGTAGGTCTTTATGTGTTTCAACACACAAAAAAAATGACCTTCTGCTGACCTTGCAGTAGCTAAAACAGCCAACACCAGTTTCAGGAATTTGATGCTTCCAAAACAGGCTGATAAAGATCCTTTTCATTGTCCTTGAGCACATGTGAACTATATAATCCAATAAGGTTAGCCTTTAGCCTGACTAAATCAAAGTGCTTGCAATATTTAGCACCTACTATTCAATTTTGCATCATCAAAGCTCACTTTTTACAGACTTTAAGAAACTTTTTGCAGTCAAGGATGTTGTAGGCTGCTGACAAAGTTCATACATAAAAAAGGCTTAAAAAATGCATCACACAACCGTTGCTGGCTGCTAAAGGCTTTCACAATGTCACTGAAACAAACGGAACAGAATCCTATGTTCATTACTGTGGTGTGGAGATTACAGAACAATGCATCTGCTCTGGTGAAAACCGATTTCAATAAAGCATGCAGAAGCTTAAGACGGCCATAAATTGAATCCAGAGGCCATAGTTAGTGCCTCTCCATCCTATTCATCTGGGCTTTGTAGGATACGGTTGAGCGCCTCACGAAGCTCTGCACGGGTAGAACACCATGGTCTGAACAAGCCTTGTGTTTGAGTTCTGATCTGGTAGCGACTGTAAATTGGTGCGTTTCATACACTTGCTAAAAGAAGCATCAAGGCTTTCCACATTCTTAAACTTAATATTCTGAATACAGAAGTTCATCAAAGGTTCACAGATCCATTGGTATCTCATAAACAAAAGATCAAACTTAATCCCTCAACAATGACCAAAAATGTGTCCCGAAAACAAAAGCCGTATCCTCACCTTTAACAATTACCCTCCACTCAATGGAAGTCGGTCATGATATTGTTCTGATACTGATGAGGGGGAAAGAAAAAAAAATCACAATAAGAAGCTTTTCTAAATCCACAAACCCTGACTTACACACACTCTCTCACACACACTCTCTCACACACACTCCCTCACACACACTCCCTCACACACACACACACGGCCCCATGGTTTTGGCACATTACGCTTCATCGCTTCTTGCAGAAAACAGCGTGTCACCTCAGAATGTGCATTATTTTTTGAGGACAAGCAAAGACTAATGGATTCCAATAACACAACATCTTTACTCTGCT